TAAAGAATTACCAGCACTATTTTGGGGGTTCCTTATTCTAAATTATGGTATCATGGGCCCCAAAACCCTATTCTTATTATTAAGGGCCCTACATTAGGGGGCTCCACTTGGAGGTTCATGGATAATGTTGATGGTATAAATGCTGCATTACTTCAAGGACCCTAAACTATGGGAACTATGGTTTATATGCCTTATTCTTGGTACTGCAAGATTTATACCATCAACCGTTGCTAGACGTGGGGTTAGAAGTCTCCTAATAGTGTGAACCGCACAGTTAAAGTAAAGCAGCCCCCCCCCCCACATATGTAAACCCACTTATAGCTACCCATGAACCTCCAAGTATATATAGCAAAGGTTGTAGTGGCTTTCCGGGTTTCTGGTTTTGAGGTTTAGGGGTTTCAGGGCTTCAGGGCTTTACGTGTTGGGTTTGGGTTAAGTTCAAGGGTTCAGGGTGTAGGGTGTGGGGCTCTATGGGCTTCGAGAGAGTATAGCGCTCCGGAGATTCAAGGTTCAGGGGTTGAGGATTTTCTTGCAGACTTAAGGGCTCTTGGATGTGTGTGTGCGCGCGTTTTATTTTGAACTGTCTTTGGGAGGTAGTGTTAATCTTACAATACAATGCTCTTGTTCCATACAAGAGGACTGGAGTTTAGGGTTTTGGAGCCAGCGAACAAAATGATTTCTTAGTTGCAAGGGCTCCTGGGAAAGTGTCCATTCTAATCGATTCTAATGTATGGGCCTAAATAACTACCTATACTATTTTGGGGGTTCCTTTTTATATTTATACAGTACAATATACCCCAAAACCCTATCCTAATTATTGAGGCTCCTATATTATTAACGCCTGCCTCTGCTCTTAAAAATGCTGCCTCGAAGACTGTGTCGGTTGTTGCGCATCATATCTTGAGGGGGGCTTCAGGCCTCGGCTGTTCTGCTTTTCTCGCGTGTGCCTCCGTGGTGGTTTTCTGTTATTGGACGTTGGTAGGGTTTAGGGTTTAGGGTTTATTTTCTTTTGTTGGACTTTGGTAGGGTTTAGGGTTTAGGGTTTATTTTCTTTTGTTGGACTTTGGTAGGGTTTATAAGGTTTAGGGTTTGGTTTCTTTTTTTGGACTTTGGTAGGGTTTAGGGTTTAGGGGACTTGGGGTCCTTCTTGGGTGCCCAAAACCATGAATAGGGACTGTACTTGGACCCGTAAACTTGGGCCGACCTTGAAATCCTTGAGTGCAAAACCCCAACATCGGGGACCCACCACCTCAATCACAGTGCCAAGTCAGGCCCCCCAACAAAAACGCCCAGCCTAGTTTTAACGATCTATTAGCCCGAAACCCTAAACCCTTAACCCCTAAACCCTTACACCCCTAAACCCTTACACACCTAAACCCTTACACCCCTAAACCCTACACCGCTAAACCCTCCCTAAACCTCTAAACCCTAAACCCTTACACCCCTAAACCCTTACACCCCTACACCCCTAAACCCCTAAACCCCAGAACCCAAAGCTGCTCTCGTTTCAGTTTCTGCAGAAGATCGAGCTCGTAGCAAGATCCTTCTTTTGAGAGGGAAAGGTACCCAAACGGTTTAGGGTTTAGGGGTTTAGGGGTTTTAGGGCCTTAAGGTTTAGGGTTTAGGGCTTTAGGGCTTTAGGGTTTAGGGTTTAGAGGTTTAGGGGTTTAGGGGTTTAGGGTTTAGGGTTTTAGGCTCCCAAACAAGACTATACACTGAATGGCTGTTGGTGCTTAGAACCCCATTATCAGTTAATTGTTGGGATTATAGGGCAGTACTGTTGCACTCACTGCAAAGCCCCCCTTCTTACTGCATCACGCACGGCATCATCTTGGTTCTGCATTTCCATGTTGTTCCTCAGGTGGCGTTCTCATATTACCGCGTCTTTGTTTTTGTCTTCAATCCCTAACTCCTCAGGCCCTAAACCCCAAAGCCCCGAACTCCAAAAATCTACAAGCCTAAACGCTAAACGCTAAACCCCTAAACCCCTAAACCCCTAAGCCCTAGATCTTCGGCAACTGACAGCTTAAGCCACGCGTGCGCGCGCGCGCGCGTCAACGTCCTATCCCAAAGAGGAGCACGTCGAAGAGACCCTTTGGGGTTTGGGGTTTGGGGTTTGGGGTTTAGGGTTTAGGGTTTAGGGTTTAGGGTTCCTTTGGTCAAAGGGTTTACTGGGCTTTGGAGTACCATACTTTAATACGTTTTTTGGGGGACCTGTTCCTTAAAGGAACCATTATGAAATAAGAGTCTATACTTTTTTCGCCCCGGTTACCTCAAATCGCAGTTTTAGGGTTTGGGGCCACAACCTTCAAAGTAATTCCTAATATAGAAACCCTACATTCTACCAAATAGGTATTCAGGACCCTTTGGGTAATTATAGGGGCCTGAAAAATTACCAACACTGTTTCGGATCGTGGCTCTACTGTCCGAAGGAAGGTTGGAAGGCTACTTCGGGGGCTCCTTGTTATTATAATATACCCCCCAAACCCTATTCTAATTATTAAAGGCCCCTATATCAGCATGGGGCCATAGGCAGTCACCAGGCACCCTTCATAAGTAATAGGATCCTTTTTGCAAGGAACTTACGTAATTGATCCCGGAAGTGCCTACAAACCCTACTAGACCCTAAACCCTAGAAGAGCGAGGTGGTGGCCTGCCTCCAGGGTACTTCCGGGGTGCAGTGCAACGAGCTCTT